ATCAGAGCTCAGAACTGGGAAATCAGAGCCCAGAACTGGGAAATCAGAGCTCAGAACTGGGAAATCAGAGCTCAGAACTGGGAAATCAGAGCCCAGGACTGGGAAAATCAGAGCTCAGAACTGGGAAATCAGAGCTCAGAACTGGGAAATCAGAGCTCAGAACTGGGAAATCAGAGCCCAGAACTGGGAAATCAGAGCTCAGAACTGGGGAAATCAGAGCTCAGAACTGGGAAATCAGAGCCCAGGACTGGGAAATCAGAGCCCAGGACTGTGAAAACGCCGCTGTTCCGAGCAGCCCTGTCCCAGTCCCAGGTAAAGCACCAGGGGCTGGCAGCTCCCAGTCTGTGCCATGTCACTTTGCAGGGTCAGGGCATTGCTGAGCTTCTCTTGCCAGCCCATTCTGCCTGCATTTGCCTATGCATCTTCCCTCTTGAATACCATGTTTTAAATAACAAACTAGTTCAGCCTGCCAGAGGAGCTTCCCCTGGTCTGTGACGTGAAGAATGAGCTTCCTGCAGTTTGTGATATTTACACTTCGCTGTGTTCTTGCTATTTTATATGATCCATCTAGAAGTGAATGCCCCTCCAGCCCTGGGTACTTCCCAAGGTTAGTGGCAGAAATATCTATAAGCAGCTGGGAATAACTATTAATATCATTGTTCATGTGTGGTGTGGCCTAAAGACCAAGGACTCTGTAGCCTGCAGTTAATGCAGTGCAGTTATTCTAAATCTTGGAGGGACAAAAATTAATGCATTTTAATTTGGAATTAATAAAATTAATTTGGAATTTGGCTGGAATTTGGCCAACAATTGAAAGGTGAATGCAGTGTATGTCAGCCTTGGGGTGACTGACCAGTGTGGGAGACTGGGCTGGAAAATCTCCCTGAATCCTGTCTTGCTGTATTCCCCATGCAGCTGGAGTCCTGGAGGGGTTTCTGCAACACATTTTTTTGTCCAAAATACCAAATAATTTAGCTACATTATTTCTTCTATTCTCTCCCTGAAAACGTGTTATTTAGAAGCACAGCATACATGAAATTATTCAAGAAACAATTTATTTAAGGATTCCCCTCCTCCTCTTCTTCCCTGGTTTATGATCCTGTTAAGTTGTAGCCACTGTATTAGGAAAAAAATGTTTTCCCTACAGTTTTTACGGAGTACTTGCTTTTGTTTGTCTTTCAAAGACTGTTATGCATAGTGGGGAAAGTATTCATAGAAGTAAAAATAACCTCCATGCAAACCTAAGTGGAGACAGATATGGATTGAGAGACAAATCCAGCTTTACTCATTTTATATGCAAATAACCTAACCCATGCAACACGGGGGAAAAAAAAAAAATGTCTCTTTTAGTACAGAGAAATTATGTCATTGCAGCTAGAAACCCTAGCAACAATATAAAAACCCCAAAATTTAAGTAGGGAAGCATTTGATCTAGTATTGACTCATTTTTCTTACTGAAGATCAAAGCATCCAGGACCTCCTTTGAAATATGTAATAAAACAGTGAATCGAATTTCCAGGGTCTAATGTCATAGAAGTTGAAAAGCTGGGGAAAAAAAATGGAAAAGAAACTTTGCTGGGAGGTGTTTTTTCTCCAAATGAATTCAGAATACTTAAAGTAGAGCTTTTAGCAGTAATTTTAGTGCCACTTGTCAGTTCACCAAAACACTTTCTGTTACTAAATATTTCAAATTCATTCCAAATTGCCATATCAGACAATTACCATTCCTAGGCAGTGCACTGTTTGCTGAATGAAGGTGAATATGCATGAGGATCTTTTTTTCATTACCCAATTTCATTTTTTCTTAATGAGCACAGGCTGCTTCTCGAGTTACATGAGACCTTTAATTGGTGTCAACAGCTGTGACAATGCCTCTCTTCATGCTTTTCTCCCTGCCTTGTTTTTAAACCAAAAGGCAGAAACCATGCTTCAATTTCAGATCCATACTGTGCTTTAAAATTCTACCAGCACTGCAGAGTGTAATTGTCATCCAGAAATAAAGATATTCCAGTGATTTCATCAGTTTAATTCCCCTGCCTTGCCCTGGCAGGAGTCAAATTGTAAATGGAAGGTTTTCCTTTCTAAGACATAGCATTAAAGTCTGGATGTGGCAGCTGCTCCTCCCCAAAACCCAGGGAGTTTTTTAATCAAAAAAGGTTAATTTTGGTGTGTAGGCTTCAGAATTCCTGTAACTTTTCTGTGTCTAGTCTGGATTTTATTGTCTGGTGTCTGAGCTGACCCCCAGGAGGTGAGCAGGGGCCGTTCCCCTGGCTCAGGGACCGTGGCTCACACCATTTCCCACAGCTGCAGCATCCCTAAGGTGTGTGGTGCAGGGAGAGGACAGAGGCCAGGAGCTCATGTCAGCTTTGATGTGCAGGTGTAGGGCAATGTCAAAGTGGGCATTTTGTCACTGCTGCTCACTGGAAGGGTTTGGCCACACCAGCTCGTGTTGGGGTAAACTGCAGCTGCTGCCGAAGCTGTTTCTGCCTCTTTCCACGACTGAGGTTCATTTCAAAAGATGTATCCTCTCAAAGAGCTGGGTCAGTAATCACCCACATGGCACCAAGAGAGAGCTCTGTACCCAGAACACAAGGGCAGTGTGAGGAGGGCTCTGTTTTCCCAGTGGAGAGCTCAGGGAGGAGGAGGAGGATGAGCAGGGGGTGTCAGCTTTGGGGACAGGACCCTGGGCTCTGCCATCAGCCCAAACGCCCCAGGAGAGCCTTGCACTGAAAATGGCTCACTGGAAATCCTCCTCACAGCTTGTGTGGCTTCTCAGAGTGATGGCTGTGTTTTTCAGCAGCAGACACTGCTCCAGGAATTCCACCTTGGGATCTTTTCTCTCTGGCTCAAATCCAGACAAAAGCCCAAGAGGTTCTCGTGCAAAGCCTGTAATTCTGTGTCTGTTCAGGTAGGCCTTTGCATTGCAGTGTTAGCAGAGAATTTTCTGGCAAAAGAGAAAATACTGAGTTTTCTTCTCCAGCATTTACAGAAACGTGTTGAATTTAACAAACCTTTGACAAGACACAAAGAAGAGTGCCACATAATGCTGTCTGCAGCTGAAAATGTACCTGCCTGACTTTAATCTGTGGTCCTGAGCTTCAGAACAACACTGGTATCGGTCCTGTGTTGAGGACTAATCTGCATTTATTATGCTTATGTACATGCCTATTATTTTTTCTATGCATATTTTATAAATATACAATATATGACTGGAATGAAAACATAGCTTATATGCCTTTAATTTTAAACCTGGGATGGTCCTGTCATGGATGTGGTGGGATCTCTGTGTCTGGCTGCTGTTGGAGCTTTAGGATTGGCACTGCATGAAGAAATTGGGGTTTTATTTTTTTTTTTTTAATATCTGGTGTTCACTTTGCATTTTTTACTCTCATTTCTATTTGGTAGGATTTTTTTGGTAAATCTGCCTTTTTGTGCTGAGCAAGATTGAGTCTTTTTGGCAAAGTTCAATCTAAATCCCCTAAATTACACTTCTGTTCTTGGCCTTTCCTAAGTCAAATGATCAGAGCATGGATGCTAAGCTGTGACCTTTTTTTGGTGATGCAGGAGAATGAAGCAGCAGTTTTAGACCTAGGAAATAAAGAGAAATAAAGACTACTGCCTCCCATCTTTCACACCTGTGTGTTTTCAAACACTTTCTGAAACAGATCTTTTATAATGCTTAAATGATAAATTAGTTTACAGACCTTTTCAGAATTTGATTGCTAAAACCCAAACCATTTCAGTATGCTGTAGATGCTTTTGTGTAATTGCATATGCCATAGGCAGATAGAGCTCTGAGAGTTTGAGAAATTTCTTGTGAATGGCAATCAAATTGCCTTTGGATACACAGGAATTTATTGTGATCATTTATTTAAATCATGCCAAGTTTCATCTCACGTTTAGCCTCTGAAACAAATCAATAAAAATTTTGTGAAGTTTGATCAACACCAAAAGTTTATTAATTAATTTTGTCAATTAAAAGTACCAAAGTTTTCATTAAGAGGTACTTAATTAGAATTAATTCAGAATTAATACTGTTAATTAGAACAGTAATTAGTACTGTTAATTTACCCTTGAGTCGGGGATGCCCCCTAGAAGTGCCGTTCCTGTACATTTCTTTTAAAAACATTCTAAATTAATTTAAAATCTGTTAAAATCATTCATGGCTCTTCACTGGGCAATTATTCAAATGAATGTCATATGCAGAAGTGAATCCTGAATTCACTGAATATCAAGAATTGTTGTCTCTTTTGACAATGAGGGTGCTGTTGATAGCAGAGGGTGAGCCAGACATGGTGTGGACCTGGTGCTGGTTTCATGCAGCAATGAGAATAATGGCACACATTGTTTTTTATCATGTTTTTCTTCTTGAAAAATCTTGTATTTAGAATTCTTTTCCATAGCATCTGATTTCCATAGCAAAGATTATTTCTTCCCTGTATGGTTGAAAGTATTCTTTCTTCAGTAAATCCTGATTTACATGTTTACTTTGCATGTTTACAGCCTAAAACAGTTCTTTATCCCTACTTTTCTGCTTATCTGTATTTTATTGAAATGGACTTAGTCAATGAATTTCATTGGCAGGAATTAATGAAATGATTTCTTTGTGAGTACGTGGGGGGACAGTGCCACCAATGTATTTGGAAAAGCAAAGAAAATTAATTAATTGGAAATGTACAAAGGGAGATTTACTCAGTTGTGGTTTTCTTCCCAAATGCCTGTGCAATTAATAAATGAGGTTTTTCAATAAAAAAAATTAAATTAACACAAAGAAACTTGAAGGCCTTCCTCCAGGAGACAGCTGAATTATGAAACATTAATTTGCTCTGAATGCCAAGAACATTTGTGATAAAGCAGCTGCCTATTTATTAAATATTATCATAGTGTGTTATCGACCATATTTCTACATCTCCTGTTTTGAGTTAGTGTAAAATATGTTTAAAAGAGGATTTAAAATTTTTTGCAAGCTACAAATAAAATGACAAACGAAGGAGTAAAGGTATTCAAATCTCCTGAAAGGGATTTATTTTGGGGGCCATACTTCCAATGAGGAATCAACAGCAAACAAGAAAAGCAAAATATTCTGCTTTAAAATCTCAAATCTCTTTGAAAAATGTAGTAAACGGTGGGAAAAAGTAACAATGGCAAACTTTTTTATTAGGAAGGCAACTCAAGGGTTCTAGCATATTCCATCCTGCTTCTTGAATATTTCTCTAGTGTTATTAGAAAGCATCATGTGTAATTTGTACTCAGAAACAAACTGGCACCGGTGATTCTTGGAAGTGGCTTCTGCAAGCACTTTAATTACAGGTAATTATCTGTACAGAGTGGCAGTGGGAGATGTTCTCCATTCACGAAGCCTCGGTGTTTTTCCTCACAGGAACGGGAGCCACCTCTTCTGATTTCTGTCCTGCTCCTTCTTCAGCAGCTCCTTGTACAGCTCTGACCTCAGGAACCTGGGGAAGGAGTCCTTTGCCATGAGGCAGTAGACTGAGCTCTGAGCAGCATCGAAGCAGCTGAGGGTGGGCTTGGAGATGTTCTGGGAGATGTCGTTTTTGGTGTGGAAGTCAATATTAACCTGTGGGAGGAAAGGAGCGCGAGAGCTGCGTCAGTTTGCTCGGGGAGCTGAGATCTGTTTGTGCCCAGGACACAGGCTGCACTGGAATTTCCTCCCAAATAACCCAGCTGATGCAAATAAACAGGGAGCTCATCCCTTCCTTTTCTAGCAGACTGAATTCTTCATTTTATTTGGCTCTTAAGAAGGTGGCATCACCGAAAAAAAGAAAGGAAAAACTTCCTTTTCCTTCTCATCTTCCTGCCAAATCAAATCCTGTGAAGTACCAATCATCAAAGGGTAAATTAAAAGTGAAGGTACTCAGCATCATTGGCCCTATGCATTTTTAAGGATTTTTTGTTTTAACAATAATATGGATTTCAATCATATGTAAGACATGGGGACATTTAAAGCACTCCTGCTAGCAAAGGCAAAAACAACGTGAAAGTTTAGGGTGCAGAAAGTGAATAATGATTAATGAGCAATTTATTCCTTCTTGGTAATGAAATAATGATAAAATAAAATTCTGTGATGGAAATTTTTGCATTCTCATCGTGTCAAAAATACCTGTACAAAAGAACAAATGCAATCATAAACATACTAATACTCTGGTACCATAAATATGGAAGAAATACTGCTTCCTGTATTATGCAAAGTGGCTAGGGAAAATAAATTCTATTCAGCATAAACTTCCTTAAAGCTTCAGGCAAAAATTTCAGAAGCTGAGGGAAACTTATTCTTGTGTGAAGAGTGTGAAGTGTAAACCACAACATTTTTGCTTCCCAGAGTTGCACAAGGCGTTTGCCTGGTGAATAATGGGCATGAAAATGGGAATTACAGCCAGGCTGAATTGTATTTTCTGTCATTCCTGGAGGTCTGGACCCGAACTTTCCACTTCATCCAATCCTCAGTACCCAGAGCACACACAGAAAAAACCTTTACCTCCTTTGGAGCATCAGCTTGTATAAAGTCAGAATAAATCTTCTGGGCCTTCGAGGCGATCTTGGTGGAGGATTTGGTTTTCTTGAAGTCCTCGCAGGCCAGCCAGAACTCCACATTCTCCTCACTGAACTCAGACTTGAGAAACGTCCTAAAAGCTGCCAGGCCCTCTGGGGAAAGTGCATCAGACAGTGGGTGGGGGAAAACTGAATGGCAATTTGTGTGTGTGCATACTCACACGTGTGTGTGTGTGTACATATATGTAAATATATCTATTTTTACAGGGTGTGTACAGTGTAACCTGTGTATCTGCCACTCTTTTACAAACTAATCTCAGGTCTGAGAAGCTGCTGCAGGGGAAATAAATAGATTAAATTATAGTGAGGGGACTACTCAGAGGGTTTTTCAGTGAGCTGCCAAGCAAGGGTTGCTCCCAGCAGCTGGGGTTTGGTCTCCTTAGCACCGGTACATTTGTTGAAGTGGAGGTTTTGGTCTTCAAAAGGATTTGCAGTGGCTGGGAAATCAGAGATTTGAGGCTGACCCCTGGGCTGAGAAGCAAAGAGACACATGGGTCACACTGTGCTGGTGTGTTCCCCCCTCAGCTGAGCTCCCCTGCCCAAATGGGGCTCCCAAATCCCTGCAAGGAAAGACTGAGGCTTGGGTGAAAGAGGGACTCCTGCTTAATTCTCTGTTCCTCTTTTTATTTTTTTACTTTTTTCACTTTGAAGGGGAAGAATGAAACAAAGGTTTGCCAGGAAGAGACTGTTTTAAAATGAATCCAAATCAGAAGCTCTGAGTAAAGAAATCTGACAGCAGCCAAATTTAGTTGTGTTAGTCAAGTTCCTGCTATCCAGGAACGGTGTGGAGTTACCCCAGGGTCCAGACCCCACACTGCCCAGGGAAATGGGGCAGGGGCAAGGAAATCTCCAAGTTGTGTGTAAATTACGAAAAATGAAACCATTGCAAGGGGGAATTTAGCAGTTACCTCAATGAAAACTATTTCACAGCATTTCTGCCTGCCCTGGAGCATTGGCCAGCAGGCAGCCTGTGCCTGCAGCTTGGCCAGAGCTCTCAGGACAGCATCAGTCCAGCAGCAGCTCTGACTGCATGGGGAGCTGAGCTGCAGAGCAGCTGAAAGCCCAGCAGGAATGTTTGGCAGATGTTTGACAGAAGTTTTAAAAACACATGCATTTTTCCATCACTTCTTACCTTTACTGGCTAGTACTGTATCCACAGACTCAGCCCAGGCCATGGTTTCCCCAGTGTTTGACCTGTGGAAACAACATCTAGCCCTGAAAATAGCATTGTGGTCTTTGCCCTGTGCAGCCCTGGCTGGCTGCTCAGGACAGGGCTCAGCACTCATCCCAGCCAGGGAAAAACAGGGATCTGGGTGCTGCTGACTGGATTGTCCATCCTGGAAATACCCCCAAAGCCTGCAGCTGCTGGGGCTCCAATAAAGCACAGGAGAGGTAGGAATGTTCTAGAGAGTGTGCTGAATTTCTTCCTGGGTTCAAAAGGATTAGGCATTAATTTATATGGCACTTTTTGCTTGGAATGACTGGAATTATCTAAAATGTTACCAAGCTAACACTAGTGGGAAACATGGGCCTAGAAGGAGCTTCTCAGTGGTATAAATAACTGAATAAATTCATAGTTTTGGCTCTTCCTCTGCAACTTGCTGTAGGCTTCTGCTAGACATGAGGGCAAGCACTTCATTCTATATAAAATATTGCCAGTTTTCTTAAAAAAACCCAACCAACCAAACCAAAAAAAGAAACAAAAAACTCAGAACAAAAAAAAAAAAAAAAATCCCAAGCACTCCCAAGTTCTGTAAAAAACATTTTCTGTTCCTAAGGAGGGGACTGAAGCTCAGCTGTCAAAACCCTGCTCCCTGAATCAGAGAGGCTGCTTTGGGATCTGTGTTCCACAGCCACCTCTCAGCATCACCAGTAATGGTAATTTCTAATTGCAAATTTAAGCAGAGATCATACAACACTGTCTGGATATTAAGGGGATGTTATACTTCTGTTATATTCTCTTATAATTCCGACAAGGGATGGTGGCAGTGACACTTTACATAAAACAAGATTTTTTGCAGCTCTCCATTTACTTGTATCCAGAGTGCAAAAAAATTATATATTTTTTTATTTTTTATATTTTTTATAAATTATATTATAAGTAAGAAAAAGGTTGTGCATATTTATAAGTCCATGTAAATATGCACATGAGGGAAGCTGGAGTGCAAATATATTGAGTCTGTGAAAATACAAATGAAAACTAAACATAGCAGTTTGTACTTTTTGAGACGTCATGTGATGATGGAACTAATCAGCAGAGAATTTTAGTGACAATAAGAAACTTTTATCAAATATGCAACAAATTTTCAGGATTTTTATTAAATGCTTATTAGCTTTCTTGTCAAGCAAAAAAGCAAAATGAAAGACCAAGATAAAGCAGGGAGTTTTCCTTCTGGTTCTTATGGGTAATATTGGTTGTTTTAATATTCACTCACCACTCAGGGAATGATCTCACTGACCATGTGGGATTTACTTGAATGGGAATGGCAAGCAGAATTGACAACAAGGAATCAAAATAGTCATATTCCCTTCAAAGGGGAAGGAAAATACAGCTGTACAGATTATTCAAGCTTGGTCATCCTGCCACATAAATCTCCTACGAGTAAAATAGCCATAAACAGCAACTCACTTCACTGGCATTTCTTGTTCCACTCTTTTCTTTTCCTGACTGATCTCCAAGCTGAAGGCAATGTGACAGCAGGAACAACACAGTTAGCACGTGGATAAGCAAACAGGACATTGCACATTGACAAACCCTTTTCGACATTTTCTTTAAAATCATTTCTTTCAGAAACCTGGCCCATTTCCAGACAGTGCCATTCCCACCTGACAGTGGCCACAGCACAGAAGGACTGGGGGCAATGGGAACACGTTCCTGCCCAGTCACGGGCGCTGGAGGAGTGCAGAGAGGGGCAGCAGGTGCTGAAGGGGCTGGGGCACAGGTCTGATGAGCTGGGCTTGTTCAGCCTGAGAAAAGCCCCAGGGGTGGCCTTAGTGCTCCCTAGAAATGCCTGAGAAGGGATTGTGGCCAGCTGCTGGTCTATGCAATTTGTCTCTTGCTCTTGATAACTATTCTTTCATGCCCAGCTCTTTGCTTCCTCTGTGTAGCCCTTGCTGTCCCTCATTCTCCTGAACAATCCTTACTGATTGATTTCTTGCCTCCCTCCAAATCTTGTCCTGAGGCCAAATCCTTTATTCAGATTACCCAGATTCCTGGTTCTCAATGTCTCCACTTGGCACAAACTTCCAGTGGTTCAGGAAGTGGGATCCCAGCTGTCCCAACTTAGGGATTTTTGTCTTAGTTATAATGTTTTACACCCAATAGAGCAGTCTTAGGAGTGAGTTTAAGGTTCCATTTGATTTTCCTCCATGGTGCAGTCATGAGCAAAGCTGCCTCCTGCCTGCCTGAGAACATCTTTCTGATTTTAGCCATGTCCACCTTCTATGGTCAGAAGGAAAAGCCCAAGCACCACATGCCACGTTTCACCCTTAGCAATGTTAAGAGGTTATCCCTTATCCTTACCTTTTGCAGATCTGTGAAAGAAGTTTCAGGCCAATCTATTTGGTGAACTTCACATGGGACAAAAAAACCAGTAAATGTGGTCAATTGTGCTCCAGGAAGATGAAATCAGATGGAAACAGATATGGAGAGGTGCATTACTGGGATGAGCAGGAGAACTGAATTGTCTTGCAGGAGAGGAATGAAAGAACAGTTTGTCTCTGAGAGGAAAGCAGAGAGGAGCTGTGATTGCCCTCTGAAAACAGAGAGGTAACCTGGTGAGAAAAAATAATTATTTAGCATAATGGCTATATTGACAAAAGAAAAAAAAATGTATATTAGCAGCCAGTGAACAAATTCAGACTGAAAACCAGAATAAAGGCTTCACAAACTGTTGGTTTTTTACAGACTCACAGAAGAATTTTTTGACCTCTCTATTCCTCTATGCTTTGAAGATAGAGCTTCATGTATTTATGAGATTATTTTAAATTGTTGTCTTTGTTAATGGAACACCAGAAATGATGACCTAAGATGCCCTTTTAGTTCCTCATATTACTAAAAATGATTCCTGGTAGCAAAATATGAAACCTTTTGGTAATTCCTTGGCTTTGCATCTACTTGCTTCTAAACCTTATAGCAGAAGAACAGAAATGTTAATTATCATCCTGATTTTCCTCTGTGATTCTTATTTTGTTTAATTGGTTATTTTCTCTTATTTCCAGAGTACACCCTGTGTGCCAGAGAGGACCAAAAGCCCTTTGTGCATTGTGCTAGTGAGACTAACTTCAGCAGGGGAGAAAACTTCCAGCATCTGTACTGACATCCAATCCTTTGTGCCTGATTCAGCCCCGGGCCTGAGCTTTGGTAAAAGGGAATCAACGTAATTCAAAATCCAACCAATATTTATCTGTGGAGTTTCTGGCTGGGCAGAGTGTAAACAGCTACAGCTGGAATTTTTTAACTGTGCCCTGCCAGAAAAGTCAGTCCAGTTGTGAGGACAGAGTTGGCACTAAATTAGGCAACTCATAATTCTTGGCTGGCTCTATTAATTTCTCAGTGTTTACCTTGTGTCTAATCCCAGTGGTTCTACTATTTACCCTCCTTAGAACTGTGACCATAAATTGATGCATTCTGCTTTTTTTAACGAGGTATTATCATTGTTATATCATAGTTCCAGTAACTCCTGTGAAACTGTGAGAGGGAAGGTTGAGGATCCCTGCCTATTTTTCATTAATACCGTCAGATGATATACATTTATTTCAAAACAAAACTCCAGATAGTGCCACACATGAATGTTTAAAATTTCTGCCTAATAGCCTGAATGATGCAGACATGAATGTCTCTTCAAGATTTTTCAGGACTGATGGATATTTTTCAAGTCAGTCTTAGCAGCCACAGAGCTAGGCTAAAATCCAGGAATATTCTAGCACACACAGTAACTGGATGGATGCAGCTGGATTGCTTTTGCACTTAGGGGCACTGCTCACAGTCCACAAAAGCATAAAGAAGCTGTCAGGGACTCTCATCACTGTACAACATTCTGTCAGTGACTGCTCAGTCTGTGCAAGCTGAAAACATTTCAGGTGTGCAGCAGGTTAATGGAGTTGTTTTGGTGTTTGTACCAGGACAATGAGAATAAGTTCACTAACCACTAAGTTCAATTTCCCATAGAAACCAGCTGGTTGTACCTCTCTGTGCTTCCTCTGCTTGGAACTTGAGTGTCTGGAAAGAAACTGATATTTCACTGGAATGTCACGAGGAGAAAAAGTGATCTTAGTTATAAAACAAATGCATCAGCTGCTCGTGCTGGTGTGTTGGCTATTCACAGTAACCAGCACCCAGCAAACAAAAGGAAATAGGAGCAGGTAGTAGAGATGGGCTGGAAATGGCACAGGGAATTAGTGCTAAACTTGTGGATCTGGAGCCAGCTGACACACTCAGTTACAGCTTCAGCTCACTCAGAGCTGGACCTGCAGAGCCCTTACCTGCTCAGCTCACTGCAGGGCATTTTTCTCTTTATCTGTCAGGCCTGGGGCTTAACCTTTCAGTTCCTCTGAGGGCTGGGCTATGGATTTCTGAGTCCTCTGCCTTTGATGGCATGGGAGAGCTGAAACCATAGCAAAGGGAATGTGGACCTGTGCCAGTATGACTTGCTAAGGAGTTATTAAATATTTAAATCTCCAGAACTTTCACAGTTTGACTTTTACTGGTGCTCACCTTTTATTCTTTAAGTATCTTTAGGCATTAGCTTTGCTGAATTATCTTCCTTCCATGAAAAGCCACTGGCTGTTGAGGGGATTAAGACCTGTCAGTTTTTGTTCCTCGGACCTGGACACTAATCACAACAGTCTAAAGCAATGCTACATATTCAAACCATTGGTTTATTGAGCTAAGAAAACATTTCCAGTTCCACATGTTCCTAAAAGGGCTGCCTGGTACTCACCTGAGCACAAGGTGAGAAAAGCTCACACTCCAGTGGATGTGCTGGTGCTTCCCTGGAGCAGGCTCAGTGTGTTAATGCTCCTCTGGCAATCCCATTCCATCCAGAGATTTGTTTGGGCAGAGCTGGTTTGTACAAGGCAACCTCAGCAGAGTGAAAAATCAACGTTCTGCTGCCCTGAGCAGTGAAGCCCAGGGGACTTGGGTGCATCCCTTATGTTGGGAGACGCCAGCATGATCCAAGCCGTGCTGGCATCCTCAGAGCATGGAAAGGCCTGGCCCAGGGGATGCAAATTCAGCCTAATCCCAGCACTATGTAAATGCCCCCCTTCCCACCGTGCTGCACAGCATGGGCAGCTCACAAAATAATTGATCTTTTTCCATGTGAATGACTCTGTGTGCCTTCAGTGTGCCACAGACTTGCTTTGCATAAGAAAATGAGCTGTTATTTTCCACCCAAGCAAACTGTGCCCTTCAGGTGAAATGTTTTGATTCCAAGAACAATCTGTCAAAATATTTTACAGCACTCTGGGCTCCTCTTATTCAGAATTTCCAAGTGCTGTACAATCACAAACCTCCACTGGAAAAGAACTGAAAACAATTCTCAAGAAAATGTGAAATCAGGAAAAACTGGAATAGCATTAGCTGCAGAAATTCAAAATGAGGCCATGAATCTGTGAAGAAACAAGAATGTCTTAATTATGAGCAAATTTTATGGTGAAGAAATCAGAGTTCAGAGTTGTCCTTCTTTTGGGCTTCATCCTTATCTTTTGTCCTGCTTGAAAACTCTCAAATGGCTGCTGTAGGGTTTCTTGCTAGTTAATTTTTGTTACCTTTGGTGGAGAAGGCAATGGTAGAGGATAAACAGGAACACATTTACAAGGAATAAAGTAAAAATGGAAGTAAGCTTGGGTGGTAGATAGAGGAAATACATTTTTATCTTGGGCACAGAGCCACACAGGAGCTTAAAGGGCATTTGATTGAGGCATTTGACTAAAATGCAAAGAACAGAGTGGGATCTGGGATAGGCAGCTGAGCAAGGACCAAGTTCATGAGTGTATGAATCACTGATGAGAGGAAGATGATTTTCTGCAATTTTTTTTTCTCAGCTGAGGTCTTTGGCAGCATGTGTGGAAAGGAGAGGGAGCTGCATTCAAAGCAGGAGCTAATTAAGGCAGGCTGAGCAGCTGGGGACAAAAGGAGAGGAAAATGATCTGCTGTTTGTGAGTCACTTAAAAGTTGTAGCGTGTAAAAGCATGTAAGAGCTGTGATAGTGATTGCCTGCCTCACTGGAAAATGGAAATCAGTCTTCTTCTTTGAGATTCTTTATCTTAGACTTCATTCTTGCTTCTTGTCAGCTGAAAAATCAGTTGTCTTTAGCTCAATAACAAATCCACAACCCGAAGAAGATATTTGTTCCTGTGTATTTCTTCCTCCCTCGAGTTAAACAAGAACAGCAGATCATAATTCAGCCAATTTAAAGCATCTGGTTAGATGGAAGTGTTGAAACAGGAGAAGCCTCTGTGCCACACAAGTCAGGAGATTGATTCCCTCATGCTTTGTGTCTTGAGACCTCACCTATGTAAGGAGTGAAGTGCAGGGTTTGGGTAGGGCCAATATTGTATTGACAGGAGGAATATTTTGGGAGATCTTGCTGAGCCCTGAGTGGCATAAATATAAATATAAATATAAATATAAATATAAATATAAATA